ATATCTTGGCACAAAGAGGTGCGACAAAGAATAAACATTTAAGCAAACTAATTACGTCATGTGTACACATAAGACGGCAGCGAGATGATAATGAAACCTGCCATTTAAAATTCACAGGCACACACATAGCCGTCTACTTTCTTGCATAAACAATGACAGAATTAGGGAGTTTCTGTGCCTGTTTCCGACTGACAAACATACCATCGGCATACTCCCACAAAGAACGCGATAAGCCGAATTCAAAACAAACACGGGGATTTATTATCTACTCACAGACGCATTAGACCTACGTGTGCACTTAATAAACCCTTTCGTGAATGATTACAACACCTATTCGTCAGGTTGCATCTAAAATCGCCTAACTCTAGCTGAGCGACTAAACGATATCAAGGCTGTCTATATCGGTCCGACGGATGGTCTATATGAAGTAGTTTAATTATTAGAGTTTCGTGCAAACTCTCCCTCCATCTCGAGAGAATCACAGTTAACGGCGTCCGCCTTCGAATCGAACTGCTGCTGAGCGGGCAAACAGCCATTCTGGCCTCTCACATACTCTACAAACATAATAATGACATAATTAATCTAAAAAATAATGGCGTGAATAAATAATTGTCTACCTAATTCTTCGAAAAGCTAGGACGGGTTCTATCTATATCAATTAATCAACATCTATCTGATATATATAAATATAGATATATATTTGATAAATTAGTAATATCATCAATCAGCGATTTGATAAATTGTACTGCTTGTTAATTGTGTTTAGTCGTTTGTAACTGTGTACAATACACAACACGCAACACACAAAACTATATAATATCATAATTATATATAGATAGTACATATATATATAATATCAAGGCACACCACGGTAGTGCAATTAATCAGCTGTAAACAACAAATGCAACGGAAAAGATCAATATCAGATGACATAGTAGTAGCCCAATATAGAGACACAAATTTTGTATATAATATAAACGCACAATAATATCGTATCATATAGTACAATAAAGCCTGTATAAAACAGTATAACAAACCGGTCGTTACCCGTGCCATTGCCGTAACGTACAAATCCGATTTGAATAAGTATGCCCACTATAAGGAACAATATTGTATAAAATAGGAAACCGTACAACATAACGTATAATATAGGATAGCAAATAGCCGCATAAAACAGTATAACAAGCCGGTCGTTACCTGCATTGCCGGTAACGACAATACGATTGAACTAGTAGCCCAATATAGACCAGCCAATATTTGATATACTAGAGACGTACAATATAGGAACAATATGCATGTATAAACACATTAGCTAAGTCGGCGTTACCTCACGGCCGTCACGTTGGCGTATTGCGTAAGACACTCGACAACACAACAGAAGAACTTATTAGAAACACTACAGAGGAAGACATACTACAGAGAAAAACTTATTAGGTAGCGGCATTCGATGCCACAACCGTGAAAACTATGTACTGCAACATGAAGCACTGAATCCACTCGAATATCCTATATACAATAGACAGCAACACAACTAAATTGAATTCAACCTTATTCCATGCAAACAACTGTCTAATCTAACAATTTTAAATTAATGTTCCTTAATTTTCATTACATTAGATAGAGCTTGACATGAATTTTTTACAATTTCTTCTTTTATTGAACATGCCATCTGATGATTTCTTTTAGTCTGAGCGCAGCGCATGCTTAGGAACAGCATGGCGGATGTAATAACGGGGGCAGGTGTGCTAGCTGCATGGTCTTCCCGAAATAGGAATTCCCAGCGTAACATCTACCGATATTGGTAGAACTGATTGTGTCCTTTGTATGATTGAATGGTTCCCATTAGAAACATCCCTCGTCCACATAATTTAAATTAAATTGAATTCAACCTTATTCCATGTAAGCACCATTTGATTTCTAATCTAACAATTTTGCTAGCATCAACTCTAGCTGTATGCTTTTTCCGAGATACGTACTCCCGGCGTGACATCTACCAATAGTGGTAGGAATTATGTTCTTCGCCCTCATATATTAAATTAAATTGCGTGTAGGTCATAGTAATTTAAATTAGGATAACACAAAGCTAACACAAGTCATGTAAATTCACCTTTCTTCGTCCCAAAACATTTTTTAATTAAACAATATTACACTTTTATTTTATTTTCATGAATTTAGCTACAGCTTGAGATTTTCACAATTTCGTGTTTTACAAAGAATGTCATCTATTGTTTTGTTTTCTTAACAATAACTATAATGGCGCCAGCTGTATTTGTTCTTGCGATCCTGACGCTTTCCATAAAGTCTTTGATTAATTCAACTATTAAGTCATATTCCTCTGGCAATCCAGCTTTCGGGCAGTTAAACTATCCGTGCCGCCTAATAGGCGTGCAGGAGAAGTCTCGGCTTACGCTTTACATTGCAAACTCTTTGCATTCGACTTCTCACAACGTCCCGCATCCTATCAAAACTGATGACGTCACCGCGTGGCATCACACGTTCCTCGTTACAGAAACAATGGCGGCAAGGCAACTCGCTGGTAAAATATTCGTGCGCTCCGTAAGGGGGCAATGTGCACAAGACACGATCCAGTGGCATCGCTTGGTTGCGATCACGCGGTCGGTCAGTAATGTCTCGACGCGGTGTGTGCGACCTCATCTACCGAAAACGTATGATAATAACAGAATATAAAATATAGAAACGCGAAATTATTATATAGAAGTATAAACGGCGTCTATGCTATAACGTCATCTAGTCGTTGTTGCTGCGACGCTACGAACGTGCTCCTACTGTGATTAACCTCATAGACATCCCTGTCTGTGTGACCAATGTGAGCAGACAACATTAATATCGCCCCGCCATCTTCGGTCGCCAGATATCTTTAGGCTGCGACGCTGTGAGCGTGCTCCTACTGTTATTAACCCCATAGACATCTCTGTCTGTCTAACCAATGTGAGCAGACAACATTAATATCGCCCCGCCATCTTCGGTCGCCAGATATCTTTAGGCTGGGACGCTGTGAGCGTGCTCCTACTGTTATTAACCCCATAGACGTCTCTGTCTGTGTGACCAATGTGAGCTGCTAACATTATTGTGGTCTGGCCATTCTATGTCGCCAGATTAAAAAAAAATCTTAAGGCTGGGACACTGTAAGCGTGCTCCTACTGTTATTAACCCCATAGACATCTCTGTCTGTCTAACCAATGTGAGCAGCATATATTATTGTCGTCCAGCCATTCTTGGTCGCAAGATTATAAACCACAAGAATAAGTGGTCGCAAGGTAGGCCTACTCTGAACAATTCACATATAACATGCATGTATAAGAAGTTCATGTACGCATGATAAACTACGTATAACACGTTAATGTACTCTTACTAAATTACATTTAACATGTTAATGTACTCTTAATAACTTACATGTTAATGTACTCCTGGTAAATTGCATATAACGCGTTAATGTATTCCTAATAAATTACATGTAAAATGTTAATGTACTCCTGATAAATTTCATATAACGTGTTAATGTACTCCTGATAAAATACATATGTGACATGGTAATGTAGCCTACTCTTGATGAATTATATTTAGAATGTTAATGTAATCCTGATAAATTACATAGAACGTGAATGTAGTGAATGTACTCCTAGAAATTACAAATAACATGGTAATGTACTGCTGATAAATAACATAACCTGTTAATGTACTTCTGATAAGTTAGATAAACATGTTAATGTATTTCTGATAAATACATATAGGTAACACGTTAGTGTACTCCTAGAAATTACATATAATATTAAGAGCGTATTAAGAAGACCATCTTAATACGCTCTTGATAATATGTATATAATATCAAGAGTGCATAATAGAGATTATGCACTCTCTAGATTATGCATCTCTATTATGCACTCTTGATAATATGTATATGTATAATATCAGGAGTAAGATAATATAGGATCTATCTTATACCTATATTATCTTACTCCTGATAATATGTATATATGTATAATATGTATATGTAAATTAAGTATAAGACGTTAATGTACTTATAATGAACATTAGCCTGTTAATACATTAATCGTGTAAATGTATTCCTGCTAATAAGCCAGTAACTGCCGCTGTGTGATGCATGTTTGATGGATATTATATATGTGATGTGATGTGATGTGATGTGATCATTATTATGCACACACTTCATATACGACCTTACGTGTCGGGTATATTTTGCGTTATTAAAATCTATCATTCCTAGTGTGTTTTTTCATTCGATGATAATTTACTGATCATAGCTGTATGATCAGCACCAGTGCTTCAGTATGAGTATGAGCCTATATAATACCAGGAGTGTCATAATATATCAATATATCTATATCTATATCTATATCTCTCTCTCTCTCTATATATATATATATCT